AACGATGTCACATTGTTACCATGGCCACCAAGATCTTCCGACTTATCCCCGATTGAGCACGTGTGGGATATGATGGGTAGGATATTGCTCAATTTGCAACGTCCTCCTCAGACTCTAGAAGCACTTCGAGAGGAGTTGGTGGTTGCCTGGAATGAGATACCACAGGAGGACATTGACCACCTGATCAGAAGCATGCCTAGGCGCGTTGGAGAATGCGTAGCACATCAGGGTGCATCCACACATTATTAAAGGTCAAAGGGCTTTAAAGCAGTGCAATAATTTTGAAATTTTTATCATTTACTTATTATGCTTCATTTAGTACTTATACAAAATTTTATTAAAATAAAACCATTTAAACTGGATGTTCGGATTTATATGTCACTTAGTATATTTGTTAAGGAAAGTGTAGATTACCATTTCGTAAAGAAACAGCCTAGGTAATCTAGGTTAACATTTTTTGAATAGCCTTTTACTGCTGTGTGTACTGTCAACTCCCACCATACATCAAATGACCCTCTTTTGGTTCAAGAGTACTTTTTTAGCATTAAACACCTATGTTATCTAAAATTACAGTTACTGCAACTGCATTGACAAATACTTTGTTTCCTGGTACTCTAATAGACCAGGAAGAAGGTTTGAGAACAAGGCATGTATTTGGTCTTGCAATTGCCTTTAATAGTTGCGATTTTTAAAAATATAGTAGCACTAAAAACAATCAACACATAAACCGTAGCGCGGGTGCGAGTACTTAATCAGCATCTTAACATCATTAGATACGAATATCCGGTGAAAGAAGGTAGATTGACATTTTTATGATAATCATGTGATAAGTAAACGACTCAAATTCTAAGGTATATGTGACTACAATACTTCTTTGAAAACGAGTGAGGAGTACATAATTTTTGAGTGTTATGGTCCTGAAATCCTAGCCTTAACAGATCTTGCATAATTTATAAGAGTAGCAGTGACGGTCGTAAAAAGTTTCCGCAGGAAATCTTCTAAAAATATTCCTGGCCACGTTTGCTGGCGATACAGCCTGAAACCCTATTACCTTTTTTGCCGAGATAAGCCTGCTAATCCGCTGTGTGTATTTGAACTTTGCTACGTCGCCATGATCCTTACAGTATTACATTTGTTACCATAGATGGAAGATAGGGCACGAGAACAGAAAATTTAATTTAAAATGGAACTTGTCCCTGGTAATAACAGACCTAATGCTGTCCCGCTCAAATCGTCGGAGCTGTTTATTTAGCAGGAACATAGAAAAGCATATAATAACGTCTGGTGTACGAGGTTGGTATGAGAAGAAACTGTGCTTGTAGTTCTAGTAATAACATTCATTTAAAGGGTCATTTTAACGTCTTAAAAACGTTCGTACTGGTAGTTATTTGACTGGATGCTCATAATACGTACAAAGAGTTAACAAAGTAGTAATATAGTTTTAGCTCCTCCGATCTCACACGGCATACCGTGGACAGCTGTTGCGTGCTATTTTGCGACTCATCAGCAGGGCTTGATCTCAGGTAGAAAAACGAACGAAAGTTAAGCAACTATCCTACATCCAGGATAAAAAGTACCGCACTTTGTGCTACATATTACCAGAATCCACCACTGCGAGGGTAAACTCAACAACCTGTATGTTTATAATAATAATAATATTTATTTACTCTAAAATACAGGGAACATGAAACGAGTAAATAAATATAATATATCCATAGGAGGACAACGCCTGTGCATGGATCATATGTATGTTGAATTGCAAAATATAATAAAATAGAGAGAAAAAAGAAATTATTGGTAAGAATGGTAGAGCATTTATTGTGTAATATTTGAGATTATTTTATTAATTTGATTTCTCCCATTCGTGTTAATAAATTTTTTAATTTTTTTTGAAGCCTAATGTATTGCGTAATTGTTTTAAATTATTTGGTAAATGTTCGTACAATTTTGGAGCTATATACAGGTGACATCGTTTCATTAGGGATTTGTTTGGTTTAGGAACATTTTTTGCGCGTAATTTATATCTGGTTTTATGATTATGTTTAATTATGTCGTATTCACTAATAGTTTTGTGATAATGAGTGATGGTATGTAAGAAGTAAAGTTGTTTAGTATCATATACTTGTGCAACATTATATAAGTCATTAGTTGGGTATAATTTTGATTTGCCTAACATTGATTTTAAAATTCTTCATTGAAGTACATCTAAATCGTTAAAGTATGTCGTGCATGCAGCACCCCACACTACTATACCATATGTTATGTGTGGCTCGACTAAAGCTTGATATATTATTCGTAGATAATATTCAGTTAATATACCGGTTAGAAATTTTATTTTATATGCTATGAATCTAATTTTCTTTAGTATGTGAGAAATATGTACATCCCATCTCAAGTGGGGATCTAGATAAATTCCTAAATATTTTGTATCATTAACTCTATTGATTTTTATATTTTTATCATTTACCTTAAACCGAAGGTGGTTATATTTTGGTAGATGATTAGATAGTGATGAAAATGGTAAAAAATGAGTTTTAGTAAAGTTAATTGTTAATTTTCGGTTATTAAACCACTGAATAATTTTGCAAAAGTCATTTTGGATAATATCTTTTAAGTCGTTCCAATCCTTACCTTTATAGAGTATAGCAGTATCGTCTGCAAAACTGACTATTTTACCAGTACTGTTAATTTTGAATATATCGTTTAAATAAATATTGAATAACAGAGGACCCAAAATTGTACCTTGTGGAACACCACATTTAACAAACATTTCTTTACTATACGAGCTTAATAATTTTACTGATTGCGGTCTATTTGATAAATAATTTTCCATTAAAGTATACATCTTTCCACGAAAACCTATTCTTTCTAAGATTTCCAAAAGTATATTGTGATTAACTGTGTCAAACGCTTTTTGTAAGTCCACAAATACGCATATCGATGGTACTTTTCCATCTATATTTTGGGTTATTTCATCTACTATACTTAATACCCCATCTGTTGTAGATTTGCCCGCTATAAAACCATATTGATTTGAATTTAGAATTTTGAATTTATTAAGAAAATTAATCATTTTATTAAGGAGTAATTTCTCAAAAACTTTAGCTAAACTTGATATAAGTGAAATAGGTCGATAGTTAGTGACGTCCGTATTATCATTAGATTTATAGATAGGTATGATGATTGCTGTTTTGAAAGCTGATGGAAATACTCCAGATTGGAAGGATTTGTTAATGATATAAGCAAGTGGTTCTGTTATTTGTTTGGCCAGTATCTTTAGATGTTCAGCTCTAATTTCGTCAACTCCAGGGCTTTTTTTATTTTTTAGAGTCATAATGGCATTGAAAACATCCTGATAGTCAGTTAATACAAATTAATTATTCAGTCTTGTTTCATGCAGATGAATATCAGCATTTTGTTTGATATTATTTGCTAAGTTTCCTCCTATATTTGTGAAAAATTCTATGAACTCATCACATATTTGCTGAATATTGTCTGTTTTCTGTCCTGTTTTTGTTTTTATTTCATTAATATTATTTTTTGAATAGGATGACTTATTGAATATATCATTGACAGTGGACCATAGGTGTCTAGAGTCATGTGAATTATTATTCAATTGTTTTATATAGTATTTTTTTTCCTTTTCTCAAAAGCTCTATAAATTAGTTTTTATACAATGAGTTGCCAAATATCACGACCAGTTTGTCCGACTAGACCGTATCAAGCACCAGAATTGGCGGCATTTAGCGGCCACAGTGGTGACCCAGCTATCAAATGTGAAGTATTTATTATTTTATTTCATTTAAGACCAGCATATTTACATGGCGATTTGAATTTAGTTATTTCCACATATAGAGAGAGTCCATATACTCGTAGAATTCATATAATATCAAAACTATAAACATACTACCATATCAAACAGCATTATTTACTACAAAAGAATAGACACCTAAGCTATAAGCTTGGGTAATGGTCATAAAGTGTATTATGAGCAAATGTATATAAAAAAAGAAATAAAAGCATCAGATAGAAACGAAATGACTGGGTTGAGTCGAGCCACAATCGATGCAAGCATGTCAAAGTTATTTAAGATGAATTTCTTAATTCCTTTTTTGAAACTATACTTCTAGAGGATTTTATATTCTAGGGGTAATTTATTATACAACCTAATACCATCAAACTTTATGCATTTTTGGCAAACAGATTTATTCTCTGGTATAAGTGTAACTCATATTTATTTTAGTTCTTGTTTCGTAAGCGAGGCTGGTTGGAACATTGTTTCTGGAGTAAACAAATTTCAGAGCAGCAAAAATATATAAACCTCTAACATTCAAAAGATCATTTTCAATGTAAACGAAACTGCAGCTTGACCTACATGAGATACCTACGAAAAATAGTCCTGAGAATATAATTTTGCGTGTTTTGTAATATTTTTAAAGTACTAGTGTATGCGGCTCCCCATATACTTATCCCGTAAGTTAGTAGAGATCCCACAAACGAGAGAATACTCTTTCTGCTTAAAATATTCCTAAGAATGAAAAACTTATGAATAATTCTCCTTAATTTCGATGCCAAAAGCTCGGCATGACTCTGCTATCATTTATAATTAATGTTCAGTGGTGTAATGGCATGCCTGCTTTGGTTGGAGAAAACGTCACATACTCAGTTTTAGAGATATTAAGTTTAAGTAAATTGTTATCCAACCAGCATTTGACTTTATTTGATGGCAACTCGGCATTCCGTATTGCGTCATCCCATGAATGACCAGTGCAAACTAAAACAGTATCGTCTGCATATGATATCATTTTACAGTTGAAATTGCATCGAGGTAATTCATTTATATATATGAGGAACAGTGCTGGTTCCAAAACCGTCCCCTGAGGCACACCTATTTTGATCTTTTGAATGTTGCTTAAATCTGACTCTACCTTAACTTGTTGTAATCGATCAGCCAAATAGTTCTCAAATAAGCGCAGAACTCTACTACGCACTCCAACACTTTCTAGTTTCTTTAATGAAATTGTATCAGATACTGAATCGAAAGCCTTTTGAAGATCTAGGAAAACTGCAACAGTCTTATTTCCATCTTGTAAATTTTCAAGCACATGTCCTATAAGTTCTTGTAGAGATTGCTCTGTATTGCAATTTTTGCTGAACCCAAATTGACTGTTCGATATTATGTCATATTCACATATTAAGAACAAAGTCTGCTATTCAAATACTTCCCAAAAATCTTCCCATATACATCGATAACTGAAATAGGTCTATAATTGAACATATTGTCTTTACTTCCAGATTTAAATATTGATGTCACTATGCTTTCTTTAAATTAGCGAGGAATTACTGAGGATTTAAAACAGTGGTTGATAATGTGAGTTATAGGGTGACTGATATACTCCATGATCATCTTGATAGTTTTAGTGTGTAAGCCATCTTTGACGGGTGCTGTATTATTTTTCAGATTACAAACTATTTGCTGTAATTCTATGTTATCCACTGGAGTTAGAAATATATAGTGAGCAATGTTGACGACATGAAGATCTGATGTATCAAGAATTAGAGTTTTGATCAATCTGATCTGTTATTTGCTCACGTATATCAACAAAATACTTATTAAAAACACAGGCATATCAGTGGGAGCGTCCAGCTGCTGATTATTATGATTAATTGATTTTACGTCATTTTTTTAAATTTTGTCAGCATTAGTTACCTCATTAATAACATCCCAGCTTTTCCTATAATTCGATATCCTTATTTTGTTTTTTAAGTTCGTCAAAACGTCCTCTCAACGTACTTTAAGCAGTACTGGTGGACTTAGTCGCGAATAATCAGCCAGGCAATTTAGAAAGGACTATCTGTAGTACAGCGATAGTATTTTTGTAGTTCAACATTTCGCAGCATAGAATACGAGACAGATCACTTTTGAGAAACAGAAAAAAATGTTCGATTTTTTCGATAGAGTTTGCATTAAAAGCGGAATTAGGTAGAACAAGACTAAACACGGTAGATCTACCGAAAAGGTCGACAATCATCAGAATGATAATCACTATGTATGCTAAAAATTAATGAATAAACTCTGTGTGTTGATTAAGGTACTATTTTATAACATGATGATTTTTCTATATAATTTCGTGGGTTATGAACATTGTATATTGTAATGCTGTATAAAAATCACATTGAGGCACTGGTATTTTGGGATTTTTTAGAAACAAAAAATTTTGGACTAAATAGCTCATGCAATTCTGAGAAATAAAAAGCCAATAGACCATAATTACTCCAATACTATTCAAAACCTAGCAAAAATTGAAGAAAATCGAGGTAGAACGTACATATTATGTATAGAATATGGGACACTTTTCGAGGAACTCGTTCCAAAAACTGTGTTTACTTCTATACCGAAGAAGCCACGCAGGCAGCCTAAATACCAGAGCATCACTGCTGCTACGAGGAGCTCAAAGAAACTATTAATTTGATTTTAAACTGAAAAATCTTAGTAGAACTAGGAAAAGCCTCTTCAGGTAGATTGTTCCACAATTTCGACACCCTAAAGACAAAGGAGCCACCATATCGACCAGTTCTGGATGTATGAAGCTCGGTAGCACCCCAAACATGTGAGCAGTACTCGATCAAGGTCTTTTTCTGGGCCTTGAAAACAATGATGAGGTCATGTGGAGAAAAGCACTTCTTAGCCTTCCTGTTGCCTCACAACACCGCGCTACTGTTAACTCACAATCCTACAGCGACTGAATTATAAAATTAATTTCTATATTTTGGCAAAATTTCACCGGAGCATAATTAATTCCGACGTAAGTTAGTTCGGGTGACGCCCGGTATAAAATACCGGAACGGTACGACACAAAGCGTAACGTTTTGTGTATCTAGCGGAATTTATCTGTCCGTTCAAACGTTTAAGGGCGGTGCCGTTTAGGGGCCGTTTTGCATTTAAAACGTATCATTAACCCGAACCGTGGAACTTGAGAAAAGCCTTTACACTTGTACTAAAATAACTGTCGCCACGCGTGAGTTATATTGTGGGGAGGACGAGGACTGCATTAAAAGTTCTTACGTGCCGTGGAACTTATGCATTATCTTTTCCGTTTTTATCTACTTAGATTGGAACAGACAGTAGTACGTTCCTAGGTTGAGGAGAAAGCCATTATTGGCTGATTTAATGTGCAAGATCAATAATTACTTTCTGAAACCAAGTACCTGTAGGTATATGTAGTACTAACACTACGCACACTACATTCGACTTTATTCTTCTTCTTATACTTACTTTATTAATAGGCTCATGCCTGTTTTACTTCGGTTTTTAGCCTCAATTAATGTTGCTTGACCATCTTTTCCTCAGTAGTCACATTGATCTTCTTCCATTTGTCGATTTGTCTCTTGCTATTCGTACTGTTCTATTTTCTGTCATTCATTCTGTGTTGATTCCATTCATTTTTTTTTCTTTTGGTCCACAGGTTTATTTCCTCTATACCACATCTCGCTCGTATTTCCTCACTTCTTACTATGTCTCTTAGAGTTTGGTTTGTTATTTTTCGTAAGACTTTCATTTCTGTTGTTTCCAATAATCTTCGTGTTTTCACCGTAACTGCTCTTGTTTCCGCCATGTACGTCATTATCGGTCTTATTGTTGATCTGTATATCTTAGTTCTCGTTTCCGTTGTGAGGTATGTTTCTCCAGATTGTATTGTTGAGACATCCTGCTGTTCTGTTCGCCATGTTCACTTGTTTTTGTACTTCTTCTTCTACTTTTCCATAGCTTGACAGTTTGATTCCCAAGTATTCCGTTTCCATGACTTGTTTTATTATTTTGTTATTTATGGCCAGTTTACATCGTCTCGGTTCCGCTGATACCACTATCGATTTAGTTGTCTCCGTTGAAATCACTATGTTGTATACGTGTATGAGCGCCGTATCTTCATGTCATCTTCATTTTCGGCTATTATTATGGCGTCGTCGGCATAGCATATTATCTGCATTTCCTTTTCTCCCATTCTATATCCTCTTCTTTTTTTAACTTTCTTCATGATTTCATCCATTACACTGGACAACAAATTTTAGTTTTTTAATTGTATCTTGTGGGAAAAGTGCACTTCTTTGTTAATTTTGGGGCGCTGAATCCAAAAATGACAATGAAATAAAAAAATTAGTTGCGGTTTAGAAAATAAACTTTTTATTTTTAAGGATATATTAAAAAAAGTAACAAGATTCATATACTTATAAGAATCACTATATGCGCTGTCTTTTTGCTGATCTTTTATGGATCGTTTCTGGAGCATCTCTACCAAGAGTCCAACAGTAGTCTGCAAGCATGGAAGGATTCCACTTTCCCTGGTACCTTTTTTCCATTGTTGAAATATCCTGATGAAAACGTTCGCCGTGCTCATCACTTACGGCTCCGCAATTGTCAGGAAAAAAGTCCAGGTGTGAGTGTAGGAAATGTATCTTAAGAGACATATTACAGCCCATCTTTTGATACGATGACAGCATATTTTTGACAAGGGTTTTATAGTTGTCAGCTTCTCTATTTCCCAAGAAATTAGTGACCACCAGACGGAAATCATTCCAAGCAGTTTTTTCAATACCTGTTAAAGTGTTTTCAAACTGTGTATCTTTCAAAATATTTCGAATCTGTGGCCCAACAAAAATACCTTCTTCAACCTTTGGCTCACTTAGTCTTGGAAATTTCTGACGCAGGTATTGAAAGCTGACGCATCTCTATCTAATGCCTTGACAAAGGTTTTCATTAGGCCCAACTTGATATGCAGTGGTGGTAATAAAATTTTTTTTCGAATAAACTAATGGCATATGCTGTACATTTTTTTGACCTGGCTCTAGGAATTGACGAACAGGTCAGTTTTGTCTGGTGTAATGAAGTGCCTTTGCCCGACTGTCCCATTCACACAAAAAACAGCAAAACTTTGTGTAGCCTAGCTGCAGCCCAAGTAAAAGTGCAACAACTTTCAAATCGCCACAAATATGCCACTGGTGCTCATCGTATTTTATGCATGTCAATAGATACTTCATATTGTCATATGATTCTTTCATGTGAACTGCATACCCTACAGGGCGAGATGGTAAAATATTTCCAATATGCAATAACACTGCCTTTAAACTCAATGTTGAACTGTGTATAAACTATCTCCATTCTTCTGGGTTATAGTTTATATTTAAAGCCGTCGGTAAGCCGTTAATGTTACTGCACAAAACCAAGTTATTCTCCATATTGAAAAATGGTTCTAAATCTTTGTGGCGTTTACGAAAAACACATACCGAAACATCGTCTTCTAACAAGTTCGACTGCTGCAGTCTTGATCCAAGTAACTCTGCCTTACATTTTGGAAGTTCTAAATCTCTTACAAGATCATTTAATTCTGACTGTGTTATTTTGTGCGGTTGGTGGCATGACGTGCTCGGTATAAAATCAGGATCTCTTGACGTTGATGGCATATCTCCTTCCTGACGAATCACTCGATCGCCATGATCTGATTCGTTTTCTGATTCGCAAGTGTAGAATTCTGGGGGTTTTGGAATAGGATTTTCGTCACTGTGAGGCACAGGTCTCATCACAGATGGTATGTTTGGGTAGTTAATAACCGATTTTTTTTCTTGGACATGCCTGTGGCTTGTCCAACACAAGGCACCATGCAAAAGTAACAATCATTAATATGATTTGTAGGCTCTCTCCAAACCATTGGGACAGCAAAGCGCATAGACCGTTTTTTGCCATTTAACCAGCTCCTCAGACTTGAAGCACATGTATTACAGCAGATGTGGGATGCCCACTGTTTGTCTTGATCACCTAGTTTACAACCGAAATAAAGCTGATATGCCTTTGTTATTAGTGGAGTAATAGACCGTCTCTGAGACGCAAAAGTCACATCACCACACACGTAACAAAACTGATCTGGATTGTTTACACACTTTCGAGACATCTTGCATGAACGCTGTCAGCCAACTGACGAAAAAATGGCTAATATAAAACAATATAATGTACACGTATGTATAAAGTAACACAATCATGCCGATTACATCATCTTTCCTTGCCGAATATAAAAATGTAGCACGTGCATTCTTGTGAATTACAGTATATTAACACTGTCACAGCAGGAACACATATAATTACCGTATCTCTAAAACTTGAACTAATATTGAAAAGATAAGTTTCATTCCGGTTTTAGCAGATTAAAGATAGTAATATTTTGTTGATTTAATTTAGGATATTTTTTAGCTGTTGATCAGTGTTATCAGACTAAATATTAGTGGGCTCAGCGAATCTCCTTGTCTAATGCCAGTTTCAATCTTGATAGGTTGCGAGAATTTTCCTTTACATCTTACCATAGCTATGTTATCTTTATATATATTCTCAACAGTTTTTACTGAATCCAGTGGTATTCCCCTATCATATTATAAATGTATCGCGTCCCTAATTCTCACTCTATCAAAGGATTTTATTGGTCTCACAGAAACTGCATCCGTGTATGTTCTTCCTTTCCGGAATCCTTGCTGTTCGACTTTATAAGATTAAACTATTTTCGGTCACCCTAACCTATACGCTAATCAACGATCATGGTGCTTTATATTCATTTAAACGCATTTTGAAATCTAGAAGCCTGGTGTTCAACTGACAAGTGAATGCGACAGGAAGCAGATTTGGCCTGTGGACAGGTCCATGCCTTCTAGATGTCTACTG